GAGAGAGAGAGAGAGAGAGATCCAACAAACCTTCTTTTAGCTTTTGTAAAGCCTCATTTAGTGCATTTTGTCCCTTACGTAAGAAACACTGAAAATAACGGGATAACAGAAATTAAGTTAAATCATTTCATCTAAAAACTTAAAACAATTAGGAATGATACGCATTTATATATTTCACCTTGCCAAGAAGATGAAGACCTCGCTCAGCGCAAAGCGAAATGAAAACAATGATCAAACAGACAAGAGCAACTATCCATGTCGGAGTATACTCGAACGAACGGCCACCACCCTCCATTTTCCGGATAAAGATTTCGATGGGAATAAAAATATGATGTAGCCCTAAATTTGGAAGACGTGCAGACTTATATAACTATAGAATGTTGAAGGGGACTGTTTAACATGACTGGCATAGCTTGATGAAGCTAAAGCAAAGAATATTTTGGAGGGAAGGAAAAGTATTTGGCCAAGCAACGAACAAAGTTGGCATACAAAAATCGTGTTAGTGTTAAGAACAATTGCTGGCTGGAAAAGTAGCCCTGCCCTTTCGTTTTACTACTTTTTCCTTACAATAGTGACTCACTAGCATCTTTTGTTGGTTGTTCTTCTTTAATCTCCTGTCATCAAATCTACTTTTAATTCAATTCTAGTGTTCTCCTTAGGTGTGGTCATCTCTCTCTTGCCTTTTCTAGTCTGCCTCACCTCTCAACTTCTATCGGTCTGCAAAGAATTGTTCTAGTGTCAACCCAACCGAGTGATTTTTACCCCGCCCCGAAGAAACGTATACATGTTTCTCTCCATATCATAAATGGCCTTTCATACCTCCAAGGTCTCCCAAACGAGGTATGAAAAGATTTTAATGGAACTACGTCACACCAAATTTTATCACTATATCTCCCAATGGTGACATTCAATAAAACTCGCTTGGTTACATCTACCTTCTCACAGTCCTTCAACCAAGTCATCCTATAAGGTTTAGGGTGTTGTTGCAAAGGTAATCCCAATTTCTCTACCATCATGATACTAGCCAGTTTGATATGTACTCCTTATCAGTAGCCAAACTGCATATTGTATTACACACAAAACATTGAGTTTGAAAAATAAATCATCATACATCTTTTATGTAGGCGTAATCAAGAAGACTCAAGAAAAGAATTGGACTATTGGATGAGTAATATTTAAATTCAAGAAAGTAGTTCTTAAATTTTTGGATTGAAATGAATATAAACAGATTTTCGATAGATAATATGATAATGTCAACTTCCTAAATATCAAGTAAAAAAATTTTTTTTTTTAATAGTGATGATGTGAACAGTACCAGTAAACAGTTTTTTTTTTTTTTTTTTNTTTTTAAACTCGAAAGTTAACTACGATATCAACAAAACAAACGGAAGTTAATTTGGATGCTTGATTAGCTCCAAAAATAACTTTAACTCTTTTTTTTGAAATTTTTTAAATTAAAAACTCAAAATTTACGACAAACATGAAGAATAAAAACAAAAGACTCAAAAGAACAAAAATGATAGAACCTGAATCTGGAGCCCAAGCTCATATATGAAATGACGCAAACCTGGGTACGAGATTAGCGTGAAAATCGCGGAAGAATTATGACCATCTTAGATTACTATACTCCAAAAAGAATTAAAACCCGGAATCTCATACACAGTGTTATAACCTCGAGTAAAAACTCGATTTTTACTTCACATCTACAAGAATTAACCAACGGATAAGTAAAATGACTACAAAGAAATGGAGAAAAATGTTTGTCTATATGCAAAATTGTAGGGTCCTACAACTATTGTAACAGAAAAAAGAAAGCAAATTCGCCTTCCTATACCTAGTCAAAAATACGTTTAAAGGTCAGACGAGATTTCTAATTCTCTAGCACCCGTTTGTCACCTTCTCCCACCTTCATTTGGCTGCAGGCACTTTTGCCGAGTTATTAGACATGTCTAAGTCAATGAGGGAAAGGTCATAAGGCACAGAGAGAGTACTCGATGCGTCCATGAGTAATGACGTGTTAACGGCCTCTGATTTCACGAGATTTTGCCCCATGCCTGGATTCTGAGGAGCATAATTGGCTGGAGATGATAAACTGGAAAAATGTACATCTTCTGATTTGTTACCAAACATATGTTTATTCCGTCTAACTGCGTCCATTTCTGGGCCAGTTGGAACAAAGGTTCGTGCCCTGTATTTCCTTGTTCCCTCGTCACCGTCATTATGGTTATAGAGAACATAATCGTGATATGTTGGTGCAAACTGCAACATAAAAGAGAATATCAGAAAAACAGCCATCATCATCATGATGTTAAACAGGTTTTTGGCTTCTAACTCGGGGTGGCAGTTGAGAATAAAAATATATGCTTGAATAGAAATTTCCACCTGGTGGACAGTATCATGGTAAAAGTCATTTAATTTCAGAGCATGTGTGAGGCTTGCTGTAAAGCCACGAGAAGCACCAATATTTGCACCAGCGTATTCCTTGTATGGGAATGCATAAAGATGACCAACCGCTGCAATGAGCATCTCGACACAAATTATAAAACTTTGAAAGTTTGCAGCTTCCACTGTATCTTTTATTAGATCAGACTTTGCCGCAAGAAAAACCAAAACCCCCTGTAAATAAGGGAGTTCATGAGGAGTTCTTGGAAACAAGTAACAATTCTCAGAAAGTAAATTAATTTAGTTATCAAGCTGGAGGCAGATACTGTTGGTGCAATTTAAATCGTAAACCACAGTTCTTTGCTTGTATTGGTTTCACGACAATAATCCAGAAAAGAAATAACAATTAAAAAGTCTCAGGGGATGAACAGCGGAAAACTACCGAGCAAAATGTAAAATCTCAGTCAAGACCCACAACATGATGACAAGCAACAATATTAGCAACAGTTCAACCATGTTATTCGATAAAGGGAGAAGTTGCCAACCATGTAATTCCTATGGCTCTACAAAAGATGACAACAATGGGAACTCTTCATCATGTAGCTAGAGATATGTGGCCAGAAAAAAACATGGTGACAGTGCGTGAAAATTACAGTACCATGTGGGGCCATGGAAATTTGTTTAACCAAAACCAAAGGGTCTGGAGAAACATAGTGACGCAGATAAGTGTAAAAAGTAGCAAAAGCGAAATGGCAGATTGCAAGAAGATTTGAAATTTATATATAACACCCATTGGAGTTTTCATGGGTGGATCACAATCTATCAACATGAAGTCTGAATAATCCTCAACAATGGCAACGTATTTTGTTTTTGGTGACCAACAGTTTGCCATGTTTCTACAGGTTGACTGGGATAAAGATGATGCAACCTTAAAGTATCTCAAAAAGCAACAAGGTCAGATAATACAAAAAAACTAGAAAGCATAATATCACATTATTAATACAGGATGCCTTTCCACCTAGGGTTCCAACTAAATAAGTACATGTGCATTAGTTGTGACACATCATTCGATAACAAAACGTTAATGGTGAAAAAAGATTTCATTGTAGAGCTCAACCAATTGACAACGCAGGCAGCATCCAGCTCAGTTTTAAACCCCCAAGAAATGACAAATGAAATCTTGGAAGCCCCAAGAAAGAAAACACGCGATCTTTACCAGTAAGATAATGCCAGCAAATAATAAGAAACTCACTAGCAACACAAAATAGGCAATAAAATAAGCATGCTTCAAATTTAATCTTATTCCTATATATCAATATTGACCAGTATCCTACCTGCCAATAAGTAAGAAATACAACTGACTTGATAATTATGAACTTTGGAACTGGATTGAATGGCTGAAGCAAATCTCTACAGGCCACATAGAACAAGGCCAAGGCATAAAGTGCTGCTGAGTATGAGATTGTATAAATAATGGTGAGATAGAGGTAGGATTGCATTGGACTGAAATTTCCGTCTTCATATTTCCCTTTCGCATAAAGTATAAATGTAACCGCTACTAGCATAGGTTTGAGGATCACAAATTGCAAGCATCCTTGCTTGCACCTTCGTATAAAGCGACTGCATAATTTCAACAACTGTATGAGAAATGTTGTTCACCAAAACTAACAAAGGGAATGCACTCTTCAGATATGCAATGGTCATACACTGAACATAAAAATATAATACCAAACCCCCAAAACAGTTTCAAACATCCGAACCCAACCCATTACAAAGCATAAAACAATCAATTAATAGAGTTGTTGACCTGCTAGAGAATTTCAGATGCTGGATATCAAGTTGTGGGACACACCATGCCATTATACTTGCTGAACCAACCTTAGATAAAAGAACTATAGCCACAAACAAGCGGTACAGACACAATGTGCCCGACATTTAAAGGGCTTTAGGCTTTAGGATATAACTGATTATGTTTCCAGCAAATAAGTGTGGTGTGCTGTTAAACTGTTCTAGACTGTGCTAACATAAAATCTTTGGGATATATTGAAACTCTAAAATTCTGGATTTTTAATAAATATCAAGGATCGTCTGAGTAACAATATCTCCAAATTAAGTTGTAGAAACACTATTCATCTTACTCTTTCATGGACTCTTCTCAGTTCATGTAGTTACCCATGTTGGACACTTGAGTATTGGACAAGAGAACAGGATGCACGTTCCATACGTTTGCATTGTACACATATGTAGGAGACATGACTAGTAAAACAACTTCATTGCATAACCATGGTGAATTATTTGAGTGCCTAGCTGAACACCTTAAACACAATTTTAACCCATAAAATAAAAGAAAAGGCAAAAAAATTAAAAATATGAATAAGTTATTATGTCCACATATTCTGAGATTTCCAGAGCTTTAATGAATCCAATTTCTACAATAGATATCTCCTCTGAGCGCTCATACCCCAATCAACAAGACGTACTGCAAGAATATATCACATTCATAATACCTAGTTTATTTGATTTTTCAACTAAACATGATGGGGAGGGAAAAATTGCTGCACTGAATTGCATCGACTAAGTGATTTCATGTGTAGGCGACTCACCCATCCAATGGAACTGGAGCTAAGCAGCATGTCATTGACCAACAATTTGGCTTTAGAACTTTGCCGCTCAGACTTAACACCACAGCACCCGGTCCACCCACCCAGGCTAAGCACAATGACAGAAAGTTATAAATGACCCAAGCTTCATATCTGCCAAAAGCAAGGAAATAAATTATAACCATCAATTCATTAGGTAAAAGCACAAAAACAGCAAGCAATTAAGGGTGAAGTGAATACAAGCAATCAACTATAGCAGATTTGAAGAGAAAAAAACAAAATATGATCTAGTACATGCTATCTAAAAAGATAGACTATTGAAAGCTAGTTCTATGCAGTATATTATTATACTTCGCCAGAGTACTTCCGTAAAATATTAATTTTGGATGTAAAATGATCACAATGTATGAATTATCCCATACCATACTCCAGTAAATGTTTAGGAACAAATGGAGGCAAACCGTTGATGACTGTCACAACTGTTCTTTAATCTTTACTTAAACTCTTAAAGAGTAAATCATATTTCGCAGTAAACGAAATATAGCTCATATGTTATGTACAATTATAACAAAGGCATTAGCGCGTTCAGCCCCTGTTTGTTATCCTTTAAAATTTTAAATTGTTTTCTACAGTACCATTCTCCACCACACATTCACACAATAAAATATTTACTCACAAACCAATATAGTTTCCTTACTTTTTAATCACACATTCTCCATCAATTTACTATTCTATAATACATTACAAGAAATTAATTGCTCTCAAACAGGGCCTTAAATTTTTTTCAGGAAAAAGAAAGCACGTGGCATCAACTTACTCACAAGCAGGTCATATTAATACATAAATAAAAACAATTCTGAAAAGTTTATTCTTAGTCAAAGATATGACCTGGACATCAATGTGCGTGGTCACCCTACTTGCTATAGTACTGCATAGGACTATTGGAATCTATGCAGACATGCACAGCGCAGCTTACATCATTTTCATGTAATTATCAGAAAATGAAGGAAAGATGATAACTTTTTTTAATATGTGTATTAAAAAACTCTAAAACATTAGTCCATGTTTCAAAACCTTGGCTCTTCCAAATAATTCTACCCGCAATCTCTAAACAAGCAGTGTGAGAACTGGGAACCTTTCATGCATATTAGAGAGATCATTTGATTTTCGCAAGTTAAAAAAGAAAAGGGCAGCAAGAGAGGAGGATAAGGTCATCCAAGAGGAGTCTAGGGCATGCAAGAACAGTGAAAAAAAATAGGAAAATGACATTATCAATTATACTTTATTAATTATACTTTTCCAGCATGTTCAAAGAAAAATTGGTATTTTGAGCAATACTTACACTTCTCTGATAGAATTGAAGTAGATTGCACCCTTATTTATGACGAGGGCCAAGAATGACATTAATGCATAAACCTGTTGAGAAACCAATATCATAAAGGTCAACACACATTTATAAACAGATTAAATTGAAAGGGGTTTGAACGTTTTGCAGTACTTTTAACATGTATTATCATCACTCTCTGTACGACAATATGTGATGTCAATATACTGTTGATTAAAATGACCATCTTGTAAATTAAAAACATAATTGGTTTAAGGAACATGACACTTTGAAATTAGTAAATTCATACTAAGTTTCATGTGTAATTTCCTGAAATATTAAGATAATTTTATTATAAAAATGGTCTACTCAACTATTTTAGCAAACAAGACAACCAGAATCAAATAACATGGGAATGGACAGTTACCTATCTGGTAATATGCTTGTAAAGGAAGTGAAGGATAAATCGTGGGAGGGTGGAAAAAATCCATTTAAAAGAGGTAAAAACATTCCTAGTGCTTCATTTAAAGAGAGAGGTAAAATATAGAGAGGAAGCAGAAGCAGCTTATTACGCCAGTATGGGAGAGGGCAGGAAGAATAGAAAAGAAAAGGCTCATTGCGTGAAGGACATCCTGTTATTACCAGTAAAATACTACAAAAGAAATGGTGTGATTCTATAGTAACACAGACTCTTAACAAAACATTAATAAAACGGAGAAGTGACAAATCATTGCAAGGTATATGGGATTTGGATCCCACGTCAAAAATATGAGCTTTTAGTGTGAAGCTTATATAAGCGGGTTCTCCAACTTCAACAACTAGCTTTTAATGTATGACTCTCTCAAGATCTAAAACAATTGTATCAGAGCATGCACCACATCTCTTGGTTGCGTACTATGCTTCGGGACTAGTCATGAGCTAGTGTAAGTCAGTCCAACGTGAGTACAATGATTGAGGAGCGTGGTGGTTCGTCATGGTTCGGATTGCAAAGTATGGATTTGGATCCCACATCAAAAGTATAAGCTTTTGATGTGATGTTTATATAAACTTGGACTCTCCAACTTCAATAACACTTAACTTACCCAAAACCCCTGAGCTCAAACCTGCACAAAAAGAGAGACTACCTACACTACGCATGACCTCCAAAGTACCTCAATTTTTTCCAACCTTTCCATAACTGGATGCACCAAATGGAATTTCACTCTAAAAAGCCTTTATTAAATATTTCAACATCATTGAAAACATCCATAATATCCATCAAAACAGAAGTTCACAAAATCAAGATCTACATGAATGGAGGATCTCAACTAGTAAGGTAAAAAAGATTCTTCCGGTTTTGCTGAAACCTTTTTTCTGTTGAAAATCATTTGAAATAAAAAACATACTGACATATAGGTCCCTAAAATATCTCTAGACCTTAATCTAAGGTCAGGAAATTTTGAAATATTTATTTGACTGCCACTCTGTATGATCAGACATCTGAAGCCTTCCCCTTTTGCAAAAAGCTGGTAATCCGTTATATTTTGCATAAAAGGTCTTGTCATACTTTGAACAAAAAATCATCCAGGTATTTGTGATTTTTTTGGCAAAGTTTTACCAGTGTACAAGTTATCTCAGCCAAAATTTTTCACATTGTTATCTCATCTTGATAACTCTTTGTTTCCTGACATTATAACATGGTGTGTCATTGAGAGATTTGAGTATATAGCTGATGTTGAAACATTTTGTGAATACTCAAAAGATGACAGAATCCTTTCAGTCCTATAGGTATCTTTTCAAAACCTTCCAATTTCAGAGGACTAGTTAATAGTCAGAAAAATAAAAGAAAAAGGCCGCTAGAGATGGATATCACAAAAATAGCCCAAAATTATAAATGCCATTACAAATGAGAATCACACCTATCAACAACTATTCCATTCATAATCCACTTATGATGTGCACGCAATGCCAGCTTACTCTCGTCATTCACCTTGGAACTTCCATTCACACTAGGAAAGGTCAAAGGAGGAATCAGAAAGAAATTAAAATTTTACTTCCCTAAATACTTTGACTCACATGCAGATATGAGTAAATCAAGTAAGAATTAGCCTACCAATCATTGTTGCTATGCAATCATCTATTACTCCTAGTAATTTTCTTGTTACAGAAATGCAATTGATTCTTTTTAATAGAACATTATTGTACAATTCTGAATTCTGTGTGCAACAATTTCGAATCCAATAGAACATTATTGTACAATTCTGTGCGCATCAATTTTGAACTCACCCCTTCCTCTTTCTCCCTCAAGTAATAAAGAATATTGAAGAATTCAAATAATAGTTTAATTAGTCTAAAGGCTAACCATAAAGTTAAATGCACAAAGGAGTGAAATTGATGTGATGTAATGAGAACCATTCCTGGGGGCAGCTGAACACTTACAGGAACCATAAAGATAATTCGGACAATGTATCTCTGATATATGGGTTCAGTATAATTCATGAGGTGCATGTAAATGTGGAGAAGCGCCAACGCAATTGCCCCAATTGTACAAGGCAAAGCAATCAGTATGTAGAATATTGGCCCCATTTGCTACAAGACCCATAATCAAATGTCAAAATTATGTAATAGGGAAACAAAAAGGCATAAACAACGGGGCATTCAACAAAAATTCAATGCAAACCTCAAGTGCTAGAATCTAGTACTTGGCCTTTTCACTTGATTCAGCAACTTTTACAGCTAAATACAGGACGAACAACTCCCCTCAAAGTGGCCAGAAACTTGCAAAACGCTAACCTCCAAAGAAAAAATTACTTCAGAAACAGAGAAAAAAGCCAGTAAAATTTTTTTATTTCCATAAACTATAGGATGGACAGATATAAAGAAGCAGAAAAGAAAACAAAAGGTAGGACTGTTAACAATAATACAAAATTGAGAAATGGGTCTGTTAACTAAAACCTACATTACATATTATAACTCCAAAAATCAGAAATGAATTACTGAAACAGTATGACTACCCTGAAGATGCAATCTAAGAGGAAAATTTTGGGGCAGACCGTCAATACTGGTAACAAACTACGGAAAAAATCGATTAAAAGTAGATCTGTTGCTGGTGTTGAGGAATAATTTGGATGATTTTCGATGAAACTGGGGACTGGGAAGTGGGAAAGCGTGAATGCTGAAGTGTGGACAGACAGGAAATAATGGCTAGTTATAGTATTGGGCAATTCTATTTGTACTTAAATGGATGACAAGGTTAACAACCCTTCACATGCATGCGGACCTCATGTGATTAAAAAATTTCAAAATGAAAAGTGGACCCTCCTATTGTGAGTGTTCAATCATTCACATTGTCATCCATTTCGATACATGTATTCGTTGATTGTGATGGTAAGCAATGCTCCCTGGCTGTCTTTGGTTAACCGATATGATTAATAAAATGATAACTCAAGTCTTCAACTATAAAGCATTGCGACTTTGGATCCTCAATTGATGGACATTGTGAGTTCTACTTCCACCATTAAAAAGTCATTTTCTCATAAAAGTTATTTATTGTACACATGCGTTGAAGTAATAATAAGAATAAGAGATTAGGAAAAATACATGTCTAGTGAAAAAAAGAATCATTCTTTTCCCGACCAACCTTACCCAACATCATAGCCACCACTAGGGGTGAAAAGCTAGTTGAATCGCTCGTGGACTCAGTTAAGTTTCTATTCGATCATCCAAACTCGTTTTGAAACGAATTATAAATTGATCGAGCTAAGCCCTATTTATTTTTCACGAGTCGAATAATGTGCGAGCCGACTTGTCATAGGCTCGTGGACCACTTTTTGTTTTTTTAACCTTTTTGACCATTTGGTGGCCCATGTGAGTGTTTGGCCCCAATAGTCAAAGTTTTTATTTTTTTTAAATGGTCCAATTTTTTTTTAATATAAACCCCTCTTTACTCCCTTTTTTTTTTCCCAAAAAATTCTACCTTCTCAATCTACCATTGTTATAATCTCCATATTAACTCTTTAATTGTGCAACCTTAAGTTAGAGAATTTAATTGTGAACCTAAAATCTATAATTTTATATTTAACAATGTGTCAATAATTACAGTAGTCATTGAAAAATCAGATAAATCACTTAACCTCGATTTAGGTGGTATACTATTTCATATCATTGTGTTTATCATGTTTTTATTTTCATTTTCAAAGATGGGCTAAAATTCATATAAAGACATTTAGAAAAAAAGAGATATGATCTCCCCTAGTAAGAAACAAGTATTCAATGATTTATATATAGAAAATGGACTAAGAGATAAATATTTATCACGGTTGTAGGTCATAGATGAAACTCAAGTTATCTTATGCTACAATCTTGTGAAGATACAGAAATTTAATTATCGATTATTACAACAACTGACACTCACGTGGTCTAGAGTATGATCTGGAAGACCATAATTGGGAAATTTTATTTTATGTGAGAAATTGTTGGAATTTTTTACAACTCTACTAATACATATTCAGACGTATATTATTCGACAAGTCCACTCTTTCTCTCTCGCTTTTATTGTATTGTTAATAATTCCAGTAAGATAAATTACTTCTCATTTTTATGAAATCGTAGTCCTTGTGAAGACTAAGTTTAGAAAATATTGCGAGAAATTGTTTATGTTATTTTCGTTAGCTTCAGTAATGGATCCTAGGTTTAGTTTAGAGGGTCCAAAATATATTGTAACCACATTTTTGAATAAATTTGGTTCCGTTTGATTTGCATTCCAGTTTTGAGTTTTGATTTTCTATTTGGAAGGTCGGTTTTAAGATTGTAAAACAAGTTCTATTTGTAATTCTAAAAAAATTGTTTCTCAAAACAAAGAACTAAAAATCATATTTTGATTTTGAATTTTTAGCATTTTTTTATGTTATTTTGTTCAACAAATTTGATTATTTATGAAGTGTCTATTTGAATCCCATTTTTTCTTAAGAATGTCTTTTTGGAATAGTAAATTGATGGGGAATGTGTAGTTGAAAAATAAGAAAAAATTTTGGGTTTGCATGTAATATTATTTTATTAAAGAATGTGTGGTTGAAAAGAAGATAGTAAAAAATGTATTTTGAAAATAATGAAAATCAAATATGGGCTAAATTAGAACAATTTTATGCTATATATTATCAAGTAAAATATATATTTTAAAATTGGTGAATTTTACAATATTTTTCATGCTACAAAAATAAAATACAAATAAATAATAAATTGACTTAACAAAAAATAGAAAATTTAATTTAATGATAAGAACTAAAAACTATAGAATGTGATTGTAAATAATAAGATTACAGCAAACAGTTCAATAGCTAAAGGACTAAGATTAATCGAAATTTATGTTGTAAATTTAATCTTATTTTCAAACTAGTGTCGGTCCATGCGATGCATGGAATTTCTAATTTTGAATGTTTCATTAGCATTGGATATAGAATCTTTAT